CCAAACAAGTTTGCAAACTTCAAATCAAACTCAAATCAAACTTATTATAATATTTGAGTTTGGTTTGGATTTGATTAGTTTTTATTTGAGTTTGAGTTTGAATTCAAACTTAATAAAATTTATAGTTTGAGTTTGGTTTGATTTGGGGTTTGATCAAATTCAAATCAAACCCGGATCAAACAACGGAACCCTAACTGCATACAAGTATTTACTTTAGTGAATAATTGCAAATTTATTTCATGAGCTTTCTACTTAATCTTATATGCACACATGTATAAATCTTTTACAAAATTCTTACACATAAGTATCTTGTACATATCTACTAATTTTAAACAGCATCACATAATTAATTTATGAATAAATTAATTTATGAATAAATTAATTTCTTTATATTTGGTTTTGCTTTTGAATTCTAAGTACTTATTTATTTATTTTTAAATAGTTGTCTTACTGTATTTAATACATCTATAATAAAGAGATATACTAAATATTTGTTAAGCTAGCTTTATTTGTAAAAATGCATTATCATTATTTTAGTAATCTAAATTTTATTTGAATTGTAATACAATTGTATACATTTTTAGTACAAATCTTGCAAATTTTGTAGATTAGGCAAATAATAAAAATATAGCAAAGTTATAGTAATAGAAAAAAAAAGCCAAAAAATAATATTTCATCTATATACAAGATAGGCAATAATAACTTTATTCAAGTAATTAAAAAGAATAGCCAACATTACAATAATATATTTATGAGTGGGTTTCTTATCTAAGTTGTGAAATATCTTGCTTTTATCTATTCTCATAATAAAGTTAATAAATTTATTAGTTAGTATCAATATTTTCTAAGTGTCAATAATAAAATATAAAAAATACTTCCTTTTATTTAAATTGTTTTTATAAGTTATTCACTTCTAAGTGATTCATTGGTATAAAATTTCTATTACAAAGTTTTGCTCTCGAATAGTTTTTTAGAAAACTAATCTAATATTTATAAACCTTCGAATCTTGCATAGCATTTTTTTAATATATCATTGCCACTAGACATTAATGCAATTTTTGATATTGAAGAATAAGATATGGTTATTAGTGATAGTAGCAATCATGAGCTTGACAATATGCTCAATAGTATTTTAGATGCAATGGATAGTGCTGGTCAAACATGGGAGATACAAGATGATAATAATACAACAAATAATGAATCAGAAACTGAAAAATCCAAAACATATCATCTTTCGATTAGTGAATATGTAGAATGGATCCAGAACCTTGAAAAAGCGGGGTTGAGTTATTACAGACATGATCATCAAGTGCATGAAGGTAGTACAAAAAAAAATCTAATGGTCAGAAAGATGGTATTGCTATCAGCATGGGACATATGAGAGTACTACTAGGAAGAATGCTACAAAAAAACCATGGCTTATACAAAAAGAATCAAAAAAATGTAGCTGTAAAAGCTACATTTATGTTGCGCTTTCTGTCAACTCAACAACAGTAGTTTTATGCCACTTTTATAAGCACATAAATCACTATCCTGGTCAGCTATCAGATTTGTATACTCTTTCTTTATCAGAAAATATTAGATAGTTTATTCAGAAACGTGCCCTTGAAGGACTTGATGCTTTCGGCATTCAACAACTTCTATGTTTTCAAGCAGTTAAACTTCAAGACCAAGTTAAGACTTTAGGAAACATGCAGCCAATTGAACCTCTACAAAATATTCAAAAACTACGTGATGGATTAGTAACTAAAAATGATATTTATACAATTGTGTATAATACAATGAAAACATGCACTTATCTTGATGAGGATGAAATACAATCCTTGAACAAATAGATAGCTAAGATAATCAGCACGAGCGGGTGTTGCCTATTTGAATATAGCAATCAAGAACAGAAATTAGATATAGCTAACACAGGATTCATATTCGCCTTCAAACAACAAAACAAAAAGAACTCTTGCAATATGCTAAAGTAATATACCTGGATGGTACACACAAAATGAATAAATATGGCTATTATCTTTTTTCACTTGTTATAAAACACTCTACAGCTAGAAGTGGTTATCCAATTGCATTTCTTATTAGTAAATATAAAAAAACATTAACATTAAAAAGGTGGTTTGAATTTTTAAAGCTTAACTATAAAAATTGGAATCCAGATCTCTTTATGGTCAACTATGCGGGAGAAAAAATAAAGGCTATTGAAGAAAGTTTTTCTAATAGTACTGTATTGCTTTGCCATTTCTACGTATTAAGGTCTTGGCATAGAAAATTAAATTATCACAGTAAAAATATTGATAAATATAAGGCAACTATTTGGAATAACCTTTGGAAATTATTGAAAACAGATGGGTGGGACGATACAAAAGCAAAAAAACAAGTTGCTAAAGCTATTAAAAAATGGCAAAATTTTAATGTTGAGACCACGAATACCTTTGCCAGCTATTTTAAGCATTGGTGGAAACCAAAGTATAATAAGTAGATGATATGTCTAAGAGGAATTTCTAGAGACATGATTGATACAAATAATTTAATTGAAGCATTTCATCACAAGCTAAAATATACTTATATGAGAGGATGACTAGGAAGATGACTTGATGCTGAAGTATATCTTCTTGCAAATATTGTGCTTTGTGACTTGGAATTTTTTGCCTTTTTAGATGAATTAAAATTGGCAAAATGAATCCTCAAAGACATTAACAGCGAATTCAGAAAATTAAAAGAATTACAAATATTAATCAGAATAATATTTATAATATCAGACCTGATACTTGGATTATACATTCCATGACAAATGACGACATGGAATATTTGGTCTGAAGAAAAGATTCTACAATTACTAGCAAAGATAGTTTAGATATATCATCTTATATTTGAAATTGTCATAACTTCAAAATACAGCAATTGCTATGCAAATATATTTTTGCTATACTTAACAAAATTAATATTAATACTGATAACACAGAAGGAACTAGCCATGATCATAATTATCTTGAAATGAATCTTATTATTGAAGAGTCTATTAATCCTCTTACTTCAATTGATCCTCTAGGCAATAAAAACTTTAAGTTTACAAAATTAAAAGAGGAGCTAAAGTTAATTGCTAAAAAATGGAAAGATAAAGAAAGTCAAGATATCCAAAGCTTACAATTAACACTTAGACAAGCTATTCAGACAGAAAAAACAAAAATTGCAAGGGTTAACTCAACTACTGATGAAAACGTATTAGAAACATTTAACTTAGGACCAAATTTAGTAATTAGAAGGCAAAATAGATTTTAAAAATAGATTAGTTTATATAATAATAAATTAATTAATATTAATAAATAATAAATTAACTTACTATCTTTAAACAATTATTTGTAAAGAAATAAAATAGAAGACCATATTTAATTATCAATTGCAGCAAAATGCATTCTAGAAGCTATAAACTTAACCTTAAATTGTTAGATTTATTTATATTTACAATAGCTTTCCCAACTGCAGACATATGCCTAAATAATTTTTTTTAAAAAAAACTAATGTCAGAATTTTTTTGTATTTAATATGAAAGTTCAATTAATTTAGGCAGTAGTTTCTTTGAATATAAAAACCAATTTCAATGACAAATTACCATAATTATTATTCAGAAGAGCAATTTAGATATGTATATATATTCCTAACAATGCATACAAGTAGTGTGTTAATAAGACAAAATCTTATAACTCAAAAAGATTTAAATACCTCACTCTATTTCTCTTCATCTGTGACTAAAAACCATCCTATTTTTAACACAATTATATACAGTATATCAAATGTTAAAAGATCATAAAAATCATTATGGCAAACCTGTATGAAAAAATTATAAATAAGCTCTTAGATTGTAATAATAGCAGTCCAATTAGTGACCCCATCACCGCCCCTAATGATCCATTACAAGATTACAAAACTCAAACTGCTATTACTCATCAATTTCTTTGCCAATTCAAAAGAATGGGACATAGAAAAGCTCAATTATAGTACACCTATTATTTGGGAGAGATCTTGGAAAATATGCTGCCGGAAGAAAGACCAATTTGTACCAAACAACTTTCTCCATACTTTGCTACTGCAGCTACCCATGCTTATTATATTTTTCATACATGGGGAACTTCTCAAATCAACCAAACTATAAAATTGACATTGTCAATGATTTATAAATTGAAAGTAGAAGATTATCAAAGAATTGTAAATTAAAAACCTTGTGGTGCTAATTTGATAAGAAATTCTTAATGTAAAAGCATTAGAGCTGTCGTGCTGGCTTAATTGACATTTAATTAGTGTTCCAAATTGTTAAAATTTTACCAACCGGTTAGTTGCCAACTATAGTTGGCAACTAACCAGTTATGTATATC